GGGGGGGAGGGTAAAGAAGCTCAAGTCCGCCGTGCCGGCCGCCGCCGCAGCCGCGTCCAAAAGTTTTCAAGGATCGTTTACCCTTTCGACATGTCTATCGGAAAATTAACCCCCCCCCCTCCAACCTCCCTTCACTTCGTCGGGCGGAACTTGGCACGGCTCTGGCTAGAAGAAGAGGCGCTCATCTTTTGATGCTCGCCTGGTAGACATGTATAGTTGGAGGATATTTAGTTAATGTTTATTTTGAACGATCTCGTATAGTTGTAACTGGCGTTTTTATAGCACCGGACCAAATAGTCAAGTGATGTCAAGGTGATCGTTGATTTGGGCAGGTACATATGAGAAATCTTATACTTTGGCTCGAGGCATGGCACGTGTACTTGACCAAAAATCAACAATAATCAATTCAATTCAGTGTACTTAATCTAAAAAACTCAGTATTTCGGTTGACATCTCTTAGATGGAAGAGCAGCAGACCACCACAACAGACGACACAAACACACGCGCACACGAACACGGACAGGAACACCTGGTCCCAGCTCCCATACGCGCAGCGGCCTGGGCGACGTCCTGAAGGAGGTCCTGGAGCAGTTCCTGAAGGTCCTGGAGCAGGTCCTGGAGCAGGTCTTGGAGGAGGCCGTGGAGCAATGCCTGGAGCAGGTCCTGGAGCAGGTCCTGGAGGAGGCCCTGGAGCACTTCCTGGAGCAGGTCCTGGAGCAGCGGCGGTCGGCAGCTCCGTTGCGCTGGTTCTGGTGCTGGTGGTGCTGCTAGTGCTGGCCAAGGAGGCAGTGGTCGCGGACGGAGCGACTGAATCACTGGTGGTGCTGCTGGTGCTGCTGGTGCTGCTGGTGCTGCTGCTGCTGCTGGTGCTGCTGGTGGCGGTGCCGTTGGCCGCCCCGGACTGTCCGCCACCACGGGCCAGGGTGGTGCACCCGCAGTCGCACTTCATGTAGTCCACCAGGCAGCCCTCCCCGCAGTCCAGCGCGCCGCTGCGCCCGCCGCTGCTGCAGCCCTCTTCACACGTCCTGCGCGCATCCAAGCACCCCCTCTCGTTGTAGCAGGCGATCCACGCCTCCCAGTCCACCTGGCCGACCTCGGGGTGTCCGAAGCATGGGCACGAGCACCTCCTCCAGCACAAGGCCTCGCAATTGATGTCGCCGGCGCTGCACCCACTGCAGGTCACTTCATCGCACTGCAACCACAAGGAGCCTTGGATTTAGGAAAAGGTTACATTTTTCATGAAAACATTGACGAATGATATCGAAAAATTGAAGAAAGCCACACAAAAATAATCTTGATCAGCGGCCAGCATATCAAATTTTGAGAAAGACCCACGAAATTGTAAGGTTAAATCTTTATAAAATTGATATTTTATTGAAAACTTTCGTATCCTACAGGATTCTTCTCGCATGGCGAAGCCGAGCCTCTCACCTTTGCACAATCTTTAAATCCATGCCCGGCAGTAGACTCGGTGGCTAAGGTGGCTGACGAGGCCGAGCTGTTCCGGTGGTCGTGGTCGGGGGGAGCTCTGACGGTCGACAGGGGGTCGTTGGTGAGTTCCATCGCCGTAAGCGGCAACAGCAGTAGAAGAACTTCCAGAACCATCTTGTTGTGTGTACCTTGGTGTCGACGCTCAGCGAGACTTGTCCATGTGCAGTCAGTGCGCGTTGAAGCTCACAACTGAGGATTTGCTGATGCAAGAGCTCGCCCTCCCTCCAAGCCCCGCTCCTCCAGCTCCGATAAGGCCCTTGAGTCACACTTTTTAGCCCGCAGTATGAGACGAACGAAGGGGAATACAGTCTCGGTCCGAATAAAGGCAAGGTCAGAGCGAAATGTTGATGCAAAGATAAATGGGTGCATGCTGCATGCAAAGATTTAGGTTCACGAATAGCTGAGGTTCTTTAGAAACTTAAAGTGTAGTGACATAGGCAACAGGTGGCAACAAACTGACAGGTATACTCTTCCCTTAAAAAAAATATATATATGCACCCTAAACATGGTGTTTTTCATACATATTTGTTGCCCCCCATTTCCATCCCTTTTCTCAATTCTTTCAGCTTTATCATGAAGCACCGATCGGTGGTAATGACTCAGCGTTGGCTATTATTGGCTGTTTGTAAGTATGGTTGAATAGTTGTGTATACGTGTGTGTGTGGGGGGGGGGGGGGTAGTTACGTGCCGTGGGGTACAACGCGGCAATAACACGCCTGGCCACCACCCCCTCCCCCTTTCCCCTCGGGCAGAGCAGCCAGAGGAGTCATTGATTGCGATCGCTTTCCTATAATTCTAATCGCGCAAAACCGGTAAGGAGGGAGGAGGGGGAGGGGGGAGGATGAGGCTGCTAGGCCGAGGGGGTGGGGCTAGGGGGCAACGGCCGGGCAGGGCCCCCTCCGCAGGGCCCCCTCCGCAGGGCCCCCTCCGCAGGGCCGGCCCCCTCTGCGCCCCCCTGCCCACCTCACTGCGCTGCGGTCACCTTTTGTTTTGCACCGGCCGGGCCGGACGAGCTAGAGAAGCTTTGGAGAAGCTCGCCAGCGCTGCCGCCCGGGCGCTGCGCCTGCAGCTTCAGCAGCTTTTAGCAGCAGCAGCTGCTGAAGCTGCTTATAGTGTTTGCTGCTGCTGCAGCAGCTGCCACACTGTCTCTGAACAAGGTGCAGTTTGTTCTTTTGTCATAAGAGCGAAAGAAAACAGGCATAAACCAGGAGGAGAAGATCGAGGCAGTCCCTTCTACGTGGAGGTAAAAGAGTACCGTTTATTTGATAAAAAGATTGCCGATTTGCGCCGTTCCAATTTTGACAAATGTATTGTCTCTTAATGGCAAAATTTTCTTACCTACTGCACATTTTGCACATGTAAGGTTGCCCCTAGGGGACGACGGTCCAGCTCTTGAAAGGGACGTGTAGCCTGTGTAACCCTACCGAGCGTGTGTGAGTGTGCGTGTGAGG